TTTAACATAATGTCAGAAACGCTGTATTTAACAACCTATCAACTACATTATTATTCTGCATGTTTGTATGTACGACCGTTACGCTTTCTGACCGAAAACCTGCTGCATAAGCATGCGTAGTTAGAATGTTTCCCCAAGAAAAACAGCGCATGCGCATTATTCACTTGACGACAAACAGTCTGCCTGTTGCAGAGAGCTGCAAAACTCAGTGATCAAGTTGCTACAATTGCTGTATGAAACAAGAAGTAACAACAAAAGAGGAATGTAAATATACTTTACCAACCAAAAGAGTGATAAAGTAAAGTGTTGGCTTGTGGACCAATAAGAAAGAGTGATCTATTTTCTGATAATCGATAGACGAGATGGTTTAAAACAGTAGGAATTGCGAATTAAAACAGGTTTCGCTATAAAAACTGGTGATTGTTACTTAAATTATCTGTACAGAATTCAGGTAGCCATTTATTTGTATTTGTATATATAACAGTACAAAAGATTTTCACTCTTTTCTTATTGGTCCACAAGCCAACACTTTCTTTTTCACAATAATAAGGTAAAAATATTGTAAAACTGTAGTAATAGGTTTAAGTCTTTCATGTAAAAACAGAGATAAGAGACAGTCAGAACCACTTGATTTTCATAAAGGCCAACGGTTAAAATCTCGCGCAACGTTAACTTTTGTGACATCACAAAATGTGAACATCATATATTCTTCAATCACGTATAATACAACTTTCTCTGTAGTTTAAAAAGCTGCTTGAGAAACATAATTGTTCATAATTGCATTTTCTACTGACCAGCAAGTTTATTGACCCTAAAGAACCACCTTTGACAATACGCTGTTTGGTCACGTGAACTCACCGTGTAATACATCATTGGTTAATCTCGAGAAATACAAAGGTTTTGTTACAACAAGATTACCTGCAAAATGCTGGGTAAGAGTCTCTCCGACTTTCAGAGAGCATGATTGTGTCCCAGTTGACCTATTCTTTTAACAGTGGTCTGAACTCCAAAAGGTGAACTGTGTAAATGACACTACAATACCGACAAAATGAGGAAAATCTGGTTTCAGTGATGTTGAGAACACAAACTCTATTGGTAGTAGAGTAAAAAAAAAATATGGAGAAAAACCACATGAGATGTTTGACGTTTAAACCAGATTCTGTTGTTACAAATTGCTGGAGGTGGAGTAGTGGTGTGATAAACGGGCTAAAGTTAAGTCTTCCGATCAGTTATGATCACCTTTGATCCCGATGGAATAGGGGTAAGAATCCACTTCGTTTGTGATGGTTCGAACAGTAGCTTCGGTCATCTTCCTTGACCAACACATTCACAGGATCTCATCCTGATTAGAAACTTTCCCAAGAGCTTAAACGTCACATTCGCTACTGTAATCCTTTGATGACATCTGTGATCAAATTGCAGAAATCAAAGAAAACATCTTACATCATTTAGTAGAGACTACACTAAGTTAATTCCAGGCAAAAAGTAATTCCATCTGATATCAGGAGTAAGGTAATTGGCCAGTTAATGTATTTCTTCTCTTTTCAATACAAAGGTTGAGTTTCTTATATTAAAACAAATATGGAGTCTCACCACGTCGTTACAGACAATGTCGCCACGTCCAGCCAAACTCTACCTGACGACAATACATCTTCACAATCACCCTGCACCTTAGTTTCCATTAGAAAAGATTCTATCGTAATGCTGTCATGTTAAAAGTACATTAATACTTCATTTGGTTTTCCACAATCCGTCTATTTTTACTGGAATGATGTTATTTCCAGCATCTATTTCAATTATACGATCGCGCCGAAATCCACAGGCGCTGCGACCGGCAATTTGACCTGTATGTCTTCGTATGGAATAGCATGAATACTCGTTTCATTTTCCAGCTGATTGAGGTATTCGACAGTTTAACGGATATGTCATGGAAGCAGCTTGTATACACGTCACTTGTGTTGCTTTTCCAGACTGAGATCTTTCTTTATTTTGTTGCTTCTGTTGCCTGGGTCACGTGGACAGATTTTGCCACTGACCTTTGTGTCCGTAGATTCTCACCTGTTACAAAACGGCGGATTTTGCATATCACAGTTCAGTTGATGTACGACTTGTTGCAGGTCTCTTTCTGAATCGCCCTAGTTCCCTAGGTTGATCCATATTACTCTGTTTTCGAAGGTCATTAAATACAAAAGATAATTTAGTCTTAAAAATCCTAAATCCTCGATATGAACACATTTTTATGATCCGAGAGGATAAATATTTTTCATCGGTTTGTTTGAGAACAAAGTCACATTGGACTATCTACTGTGTCCACCATGGGGAATCGAACCTCGGATTCTAGCTTTGTCCCACTAGGGTTATTTTGCGTAGGAAAGAGCTGTTACCTTCTCTTCCCAAAAGCGATGGCATCACACTACTTACGTACGAAACACCAAGAAATATCAAAATATAGTTATGATATAATCCGTTCCGCTGTAACTCTATATGGGCATCGTGGGTATCAAAACACGATTTTTAACGTTAGCCTATAAACCTGCAGATTTACCGCTGAGCCGTCAGAGGAGTGGGGAGGGGAGAGCACTGTCTAAAGATAACAAAATTAATGAAAATCACTAAATCATTTTCTTTGGTAATATATGAAGTAATACTGTGATGATAAATCAGTAATATGTGAAGTAATACTGTGACGATAAATCAGTAATATATGGAGTAATACTGTGACGATAAATCAGTAATATATGAAGTAATACTGTGACGATAAATCAGTAATATATGGAGTAATACTGTGACGATAAATCAGTAATATATGGAGTAATACTGTGACGATAAATCAGTAATATATGAAGTAATACTATGATGATAAATCAGTAATATATGAAGTAATACTGTGACAATAAATACAGTAATATATGAAGAAATAATATGACGATAACTCAGTAATATATGGAGTAATAGTGTGACAATAAATCAGTAATATATGAAGTAATACTGTGCCGATAAATCAGTAATATATGAAGTAATACTATGATGATAAATCAGTAATATATGAAGTAATACTGTGACGATAAATCAGTAATATATGAAGTAATACTGTGACGATAAATCAGTAATATATGAAGTAATACTGTGACGATAAATCAGTAATATATGAAGTAATACTGTGACGATAAATCAGTAATATATGAAGTAATACTGTGACGATAAATCATACCTCGTCTGTCGTACATTGAAAATGTATTTTGAAATGAAGAGCTTGATTGGATCTAATGACTTTTCTAGTCGGACACTAATTATTCGTTTATAATCGAACTCCGGATTTAAGCGTTAAAAGTTCGTAAATGTACCACCGATCTACTTGGGGATCTAAGTATAAGTAAATAACAATATTTCCTCAGTGTCTAACTTCACTAGAGGTGGATCATCGTCTGCTAGTGAATGTTATATTGTTTGAACCATAGCCTAATGTTTGTCACGTGTTTATTCCGTTTAAAATTACATAATAAAATCGAACATAAGCCCCCAAAACATTACTTTTTTATTTAGAAAAAAACAAATACAGACGTTGCTAAAAGAGTCATCAAAGCTGGTAGAATAGTTCCAACAGAAAAACAAAATACTAATAACGTTTTCAGCAAGACTTGGTTACCATTACAAGATTATCGTTAGAGGAAATGAATAAAGCCACGTTTTAATGAATATTTAATACACTAGCCTATTTAATGTTGACGATAAAGTTATAAATATGTTTGAATTTCTAATCACATTCACCTCGTGATGTGGCCTCACGTTTCACAATAGAAAATCAAATGAATCTAAATAAAATAAAAGCAAAAAAAAACCAAAAACATTTGACCTAAAATTATATTTAGGTATTTTTAGATCAAGTAAATATTGTTTTGAAAAAAAAAACGTACATACTAATCTGAATTTGGTTGTTTGTTCTCAAGCACAAAGTTGAACAATGAGCTATCTGTGCTGTGCCGACCACGGGTATCGAAACCCGGGGTTTAGCGTTATAAGCCTTCACACTTACCGCTGAGCCACTGGGAGCATCAGAGTATGGTGGATTTAAAAATCTTCAGTATATCAACTATACTATCGCTCTGTAAGTTGTAATTCTTATATAAATGTAGGCTTCGCAGTTTCACTTCCTACGATGAAGACTGGATAAAATGTCCACAGTTCGCACGAACTTGGCACAGTGAGACACTTGTTTGCGTTTCTTTAAACTTGTTTTGTTTTCTCTTGTTTGATGAACTAGCACAACGTTTGAGGAAAGCAAATGCTTGAAAATATGGCAATAAATCCGACCACATGAACGAGAGACGAACTAATACCATTAAACGTAGTTTTTACTCTCACCTTTTTTCAAGAAATAACTTAAGACTGAGGTTAGATATTATTGTTTCTTAAACAAAAACGGAATCACGTAGTTCTTGTTTGACAGCTTCAAATATCTGACTCATTGATTGATTATTCCTTGCAACGTCACCAGAACATGTGCTGATTGATTGATCATTCCTTGTCACAACGCAACCAGAACATGTGCTGATTGATTGATCATTCCTTGTCACAACGTCAACCAGAACATGTGCTGATTGATTGATCATTCCTTGTCACAACACAACCAGAACATGTGCTGATTGATTGATCATTCCTTGTCACAACGTCACCAGAACATGTGCTGATCGATTGATCATTCCTTGTCACAACGTCACCAGAACATGTGCTGATCGATTGATCATTCCTTGTCACAACGCAACCAGAACATGTGCTGATCGATTGATCATTCCTTGTCACAACGCAACCAGAACATGTGCTGATCGATTGATCATTCCTTGTCACAACGTCACTAGAACATGTGCTGATCGATTGATCATTCCTTGTCACAACGTCACCAGAACATGTGCTGAAAATAACGTTCGTTTCGCAACACAGATTTTCCGAGTAAATCACAGGGACTGATTCAGTTGTTTCATGTCTAAACAATTATTTCACTGTCACAAGGGAAGCTCATAAGCACTGTTGGACCGACTGATATGGAAGGACAGCGGACTGTCAGGAGTCTTGTTCTTTGTTCTGGACACGGAGGATAACCAATCTGGCACCCCGGGACTCTTACTGGATCGTTCCCCACCATTCTGAAAGCCAAACAGCCCAGTGCGGCTGTCCGCGTGGTACAGTGACATTCTAGAAGAATTACGAGAAGGTGGAGCCGGAGGTGTACGCTCAACTTCGACTATTTCACCGGATTCAAACGCCGGATTTACGTATTTTTCAGCAGACCGAAAGTAAGAATGTCTTAGAAGCTGAGATATTCTATTAGTTCGAGAATAAGGGTTCACAGGGGCACCCTTGCAGCTCCCTTCGCTGCTTTCCTCGCCGCTGGTCCCAATACCAAGGTCCTTTTCGGCACTACTGTCAAAACTGGACGTGTCTCGAGATCCTTTGCCACTGTCCACTTCGGCTGCCTCTACCTTTCCAACACGCTGTACTGATTTTAAGTGCGTAATTTCCGAAGAAGCTACGTTAGCGTACGAGGGACGAGGGATGATGATAACCGCTTTATCTGTCACCGGAAGAGCTGGCGTCTCTTGCTTCTCTGAATGGTACAGAGTGTTTGGGATGTGAGGAAGTTCGGGGATTTTGTCCTTCTTCTCTGTGTTGCAACAGTCAGAAAGCGAGAGAAGGACTGGAAGCAAGAGAATACCGTGGAGAGCTGCAAATAATATAACCAGGAAGACAGTTTTAAAGAAGGTGAGGAATATATAGGAAGGAGCAAAGGCGAGAGACACTATTCCCAAAATGGTCGAAAAGCTGCCTTGCAATATGGGCATTCCGAGGGAATGAAGAGCGGATCGCATCCTTTCATTTGGATTATTCTTGTCTGACGATATGTATGCGTAAGAAATGTGAGCCGAGTAATCCACAGAGAATCCAATACACATAATCAGATTAATCATTGAGATGGAGTCCAAGTTAACGTTCCAGTGGGTCATATAGCCGACGACACCGATTTCAATAGAAACGATGGAGAACGCCACCCACAGTGCACACATTGGCTTTGGGATGAAAATGAGCGATATCACCATCATAACGGCGGCAGCAACTGAAATAGCTTGAATAGATGTTTCTCGAACAAGAATAAACTGATCCCAGAAGATGAAGTACTGTTGATATACTGTGACGTTGAAAGGAAAACTGTCGGCGATCTCGCGCAACTCGAGAACCATGTCTTTCTCTTCATTCGCATCAGTAATGTCCTGTGTCTGTATCATAAACCTGGAAGTTACGATCGATGTCCTGTTCTCGTTAAACACTATATCTCTCTTAAAGTGCTCCAGTAGTGGCATCCTGAAAAACACTTCGTGAAGAGCTCCCATAAAATCTTCCTTCTTGGTCAGATTAAAGCCATCCAACAAAGCGAAAGATCGGTCATCTTTCTGGAACTGCAAGTAAGCTCTCAGCCAAGACTCGGTCAATGATGATCCAGCAATGAACTTAGAACTTTCCAATTTCTGAAGCATGTTTTCCATCGCTTCATGAACCTTGGGGTCTGCATAATTCATCTCGTCCGTTACGACAACGTGAATCCGGTAGGGGTACTTCCGAAAATACATATCGTCCATTTTGTAGAAGGTCACGGAATAAGAGTCGTATCTGGACAGTTTGTGTCTCTCGAGACCTTCCTTAACCAATGTACAACCCCAGATACCAACAGCTAAGTAGACAAAAAACAGCATTATTATAAATGTTTTCACCGGTAGGACGCTGAGGGCTCCACCTAGCGTATCTCGGAAAAAAATCATCAAAGCATGTTCTTGGTTGTCTATTGGATTGTCTGGGTCGTTTTCGTTTAATCCACCTGTACAAAGGAGACGAAAGAGGGCGCTCTTCTTCTGTGAAACTAAATGAAAAAGAAATACAAAAAAGACGGAAAGTAAGTCAGATAGATCTTAAACGTCACAACTCTTGTGAAACAGAAGAATATAAGTTTATACGTGAATACACGACTGTAACAGTATTGAAAGGAATGTATATGTAAAAAACTAATACGTGATTTAGTAACTGAAATCTAGTCTGTGACTCATTTGCATAATGGAATTTAAAATCTCAAAATGTAACTGAAAAACTGAAAAGGATAACGAGAAAGAAATATGTATGTCGAGTCCTGTTGTTTTTAAAGTTATTACTGTGACGAAAGTTCCCGAGCACGTGCTACGTATATTTCAAATATATTTCGAAACCCAACGTGAATATTGGTACGAAATGAATTGATAATTTCATAAAAGGTACTTACTTTGGAAAGTGATTCACCAAAACATATATACATAGGCATGAACTTTGCTACTATTTGCGGACAGAACAATATAAACACGTGTCTCTGAGCACCTAGCGAGCAAAATATGCACTAAACTTATCAAAGCCAAATCTCAGACGTTTTAAATGTAAAGAAACAAAAGATTATACCAACTTCACGGGAAATGACAAATTACAAAATGTATTCAATAGCTATAACCATGTTCACTCTTCCGAAATAAATAATAATCATCTCATCTTACTGGACATCAGTTGTTATGATCGTTTCATCTTTTAAATGATCATTATTGATGTTGCAACATCATTACATCTATGTTATCAACATCAAACATATTTATTTTCAGCAACAAATATAATATAAGTTGTCCATAAAATGTATTACATAACTTTAACAAGTAATAATGTTAGAGACACGCTGTTAAGGACGTTAAGAACCCTCCAAACAGTTCCAAGTACCTGAAATTTTGAGAGCGAGAAACCGACGTCGCCATCTTGGCGAGAGGCAATTGTTCTAACCCTAAAATTTCAAACATAAAAGTATAATAGGGATGAGTTTTGGACTTCTCACGAGATACTCACTTGCAAAGGATTTTGCTGTGGTTGGAATGCAAAAGACGCCATGTAGATTCCGACTTTCAGCGTAACCACTAACAGCCATGCAGCCTCCAAAGAAGGTAATGTGCCAGATGTAGGTGAAGAGCACAGCCATAGCTGTGTAGATGCAAAATATTTGTACTGAAGGAAAAGGTGTAATAACTCCGATTAGGAAAGATATAAAATTTGTTAGAGATGTAATCGTTATGGAAACGGCAGCATCTGAATACGTTTCGGACATTCTTTCTTCGACTGATTTCTTTGGGTCCGTGCGACGCCAAGCGGCCAGAAGAACAAACGTATCATCCATTCCAATACCTGTATATAAAAAAAGAAAGAAAAATAAATGGATAAATATTATAGAAGAACAATTCACAATCTAAGTGAATCTAATATTGTGGCGACACCTACAGGAGTTTGTTGAAATCTCTAATGAACATTTCTGAGTAGCTTTAAAATATACTACACTAGGTGACTCTGGTTATTCTACGGTGGCGTCCTCTTCTTCGAATACAATGTACAAATTGAACGTTTTAATTGCACGCCCCCTGGCTGTTGTCATTTGTACAATTTTTTAAGTTGAAGAGAGAATTTTTGTTAACTTCCAATTCTTGCCACCGGTGACGTTTTGGCGCTTTCATTTGTATTTGTGTTGAATGTTGCCGTCTCTAAGTTTGGACTGATAGGCTAATAATGATAAATTAGCTAGTCAACAGCACCCACCGTCATATTTCGGGCTACTCTAATCAAATACTGGGATTTCATGGACACTCTTATAACTTCGGAGCCTTGTTTTACGGCAACGGGACGCGAACATGATACACCTCGAATTCATAGTCCGGCACACTATCCAGTAGACCACGCCTTTCTGATAAGCGGTTTCACGCTCCTGTTAGTTAGTTTCGGATACTGATAGTTTAGCACTGACAAACAAAACCGAAACTTAAGTAAACAAATACAAAAATATGTAATTTCTTCAACGTTCCAATTGTGTTTAACTTTCTAGCCATGTTTTATAATATTCCATTGAAACATTCAAACTTTTGTTTACAACCTCATCGACACATACGAATATAAAGTTATTATATCGTTAACGTTTTTGTTTCGTTTATTTGATCTGCATTTAAAGTTAATTCTATACAACTACATTCAGATTACCAAACAACGACCCCCATGCCTGCTCGGTGGCTCAGCAGAAAGTCCGTTGGCTTACAACGTTAGAAATCAGGTTTCGATTCCCGCAATGAGCAGAACACAAGCAGTCGTTGGTGTAACTTTGCGCTTGACAACAAATAATTAAAACCAAACAACGACCCCCTGCCTGCTCGGTGGCTCAGCAGAAAGTCCGTTGGCTTACAACGCTAGAAATCAGGTTTCGATTCCCGCAATGAGCAGAACACAAGCAGTCGTTGGTGTAACTTTGCGCTTGACAACAAATAATTAAAACCAAACAACGAAAGTGCATATTTGATAAAACGTCATTTAGTTTTGCTGTTAACTTTTAAATCTAGGAGTTTATTAACAGATGGCGCTAGTTTAACTTCTACAAACTTTACACAATTTGTCATTATAAAACCTTTTTGGTCATTATACAGTTTATCATTTGGTGCCAATTTCGAAGGTCTGAAACGAAAGGATTATTTTTATGTTCCTTTTCTGTAACTCCCAAATAATAATATTTTTATGTTCCTTTTCTGTAACTATCAAATGAAAATATGTTTATGTTCCTTTTCTGTAACTATCAAATGAAAATATGTTTATGTTCCTTTTCTGTAACTATCAAATAAAAATATGTTTATGTTCCTTTTCTGTGACTATCAAATAATAATATTTTTATGTTCCTTTTCTGTAACTATCAAATAATAATATTTTTATGTTCATTTTTCTGTAACTATCAAATAATAATATTTTTATGTTCCTTTTCTGTAACTACCAAATAAAAATATGTTTATGTTCCTTTTCTGTAACTATCAAATAAAAATATTTTATGTTCCTTTTCTGTAACTATCAAATAATAATATTACAACCAAAAAATACAGCATAGAATATTGGTCATTGACAAAACACAATCACTAAACACAGCATAGAATACTGGTCATTGACAAAACACAATCACTAAACACAGCATAGAATATTGGTCATTGATAACACAACCACTAAACACAGCATAGAATATTGGTCATTGACAAAACACAACCACTAAACACAACATAGAATATTAGTCATTAGCCATATACAACCACTAAACACAACATAGAATATT